TGGGCAAAACAAAAAGAGAGGAAAACTCTTCCGTAGAGATTCGAAAGGCTTGTTGTTCAAGCAAAGACTTCCGTCTCGCCGAGTCAGCAAGTAGAAACGAGACTGCTGGCATCACCATGCCTGCCATCTTCTACCATCCCTAGAGTGGCATCCCTGTCTTAAGAGTCTTAAGAGTCTTAAGATTGTGATTGTGCTGCTTCTATGCCGTCCTTCTCATGCCACATGAGCTCTGCCACTGGGAGCTCACCTTACTCAGGAGCAACGGTCTACAGAAAGGATCCGAAAGGAGTAGATAGTGTACCGCAGGGCACCTCTTCCTACCATGCTGCACAATGCTGCGCAACGCTCTGCCTAGCTGGGCTGTGCACTGCCGGGTGCAGTCAGCGTCCGAGCAAGTTGTAGAGACGGTGGAGCAGGTGGACCAGCAACTCCATGAAGTCGGACGGTGGCACAAACACCTCCCGCAGGTGCAACCACTCATCATGTTTGCATAGGTACTCCCTGCACATAGTCACTCCCCGGCCATGATCTTGGCAGATTGACAATCTCTAGATGTCCTTCGCTCAAAATGAGTGTCAAATCACCAAAAAAAACGCCGAAAGGGCGATGCCACGATGCCTCGCTTCCCACTGCCCTTGAGCATTCGCAGGATCAGCGGTTCCGCCACAGGAAAGCTCTCAAGACCTGCTGCAATGACAGAATCTTGGCTTCCCAGTGGAATTTTGAAACCACACAAGCTGCTCTTCAAATGACATGAAGACTCAAAGCAAGCGGCTGGAGCCAACAAAGATGTTAAGACTTCAGACTTCGGAGAGAACTATAGCGAAATAGAAGGAGAAGAGGAAGAGGAAGAAAAAGAAGAGGAACACATCTCCGAAGACATTCTGGCATGTGCGAAGCGCCTGAAACAAAGACCTCTCCAACCTGCAGCCAACGAATGTTCAAGTCGCTACCCCTTACAAGGTAACAGGAGAAGAATTTCATACGAATTGATCTCACCATAGTCTCACCTTGTCTTCCTTGCCTTGTCTTCGTTGTAGCGATAGTACGCTGGCAACGGAGTCCACGCCGCATAGAATGGCAACCGCTCCTCGCGAGCCTCAACCTGGTAGTGAATCTCTTCACCTGGATCAGGCCACGAACATTGCAGCTTCGACAACAACGATCTTAAAATCACTTATATATATATATACGTGATCACTTATATATAAGTGATGTTAAGTACACACTTAAGTATACTTATATAATTCAAGTGATCTCATTAAGTGCATGTTAAGTCCATGGTTGCTGTTTCTCAGCTGTAATCAAGCCTGCCCTTTGCCCCCATTCGTAGATGGAGTGAAAGATACATTCAATGATATGTGAGTGCGCGCATCCTTTCAATCCTGCTCACGTAAGGCCCGCCTTCTTCTAATTGCCATTGGATGCGACAATGCGTCCGAGGACATTTTGGGAAATTCGAATGAGCCAGTGATGGTTTGGGGCTCTCCAAGATTTGTGTCCGTCCGCGAGACAGAGTGGCTTTACCTGGCCAGCAGCGCTGTGGGGCCCGAACAAACATAGGAATTACATAGGAATGACATGGGCTCGAGAGTAACTGCGTAAGGATGTCAATGACACTGCAATTGGACACGGGAAAAGCAAGTGGTGTAAGGTGAAGGTGAAGCAGAACAAACAGAAAAACGAGAGAGACAATTCAATAGAGAGAGAGAGAGCGAGCGGGCAAGAGAGGGAGAGAGAGAGAGAGAGACGGAGGGAGACAGAGGGGGAGAGTGAGAGAGAAACAGACAGAAATGCTGACAATCTGAATGTTGCTGAGCAGTGAGAAGCCTGAAGCTGGTTGCAAAATATTGATGTTTGGAAGTTGCTGTTCTGAAGTGGAATTGTGAAAGAAACGACGCCAACAAAAGGCATAGACGTGCAGAAACTTGGGAAGTTTCCTGGCCTGTTTGAATTGGTGATGGTTCAGCCTGGTGCGGTGCAGCATTGTCTGATTCGAAGACGCAGCATTGTCTGATTCTGAGACGCTGAGACTCCACAAACCCAAAAAATGAAGTGGCTCAGTTCAAAAAGCCTAAAAGTCATTGAACTGACTATAAGTCTTGTGAAGCTCCCACGGTTCTCTGAGAAACCAACTGCAACATCTGCAAGCACCGCTGATGCTGCAGAAAACACATCTAATGCCTAAGCGGAACTCTGAAGTTCTTCATAATCTTAAATGCAAGAGATGTATCACACACGGGCATCTCATTGTCATTTGAATTTGCAGCTCAGACACTGTGAGTTGCAACTCGGTCTGCTCTGCATCACCACCACCCTTTGCAAGCTCTCAGGATTAACTGCAATTCCAGGCTGAAGATGGCTGAAGATGGCTGAAGTACCTTCACCATCCTTCACCATCCTTCACCATCCTTCAGCAGTCCACGTGCCTGGTCTTCCGCGCTTCCCAGATGGATGCTTGGAGACGGAGGGCTCCATCTTGAAGGCCCCGCATTGTTCACTGATCGTGCTCGAAACCTGAATCAACAACAAGCACTGCCAGTGCACCAGTTTCCGAGGTTGTTTTGTGTTTTTTAAGCTGATATGGACAGCTTGGAATTCTCCCTATTGCCATCAGGACTCTGTTAACCGTTCTTGCTTTGTGTTCCATGTAATGACTAGGCCAACAAGTACAGTATGCGACAAAGATCGACAAAGTGTTGGGAAGTGAAACATCCATCTGTTACCATCTGTTGACCTTTACAGTGAATGCGATCTTGTTTTACATAACAGGGTGCAGATGCCTAGGGTTCTGCACAACAATAATCTGGAGACCTGTATCCAGTTGCAATCAGAACTTGCTTAGCTTGAACTTTGAACCGCCTGGTTTCTGTCGTTTGCAGAAGTGTTTGTTGCCACATCATTTGCGTTCCTAGAGATTTGAGCCATTTCGCTCACAGTTCCCCGGGTGTTGGTGAATTAACAGGGTACAGAATTGCAGTGCTGTGGTGAACATTCCAAACATGAACGATCATTTCAACAACATAACGAAATCATCCCTGGGACGTTTGTCTGGCCATCTTGGCGCTCATCGTTTTTATCCACAGCCATGCATGCGATTTTCCACACATTCTTGTATTTTGTCAGCGACGCAAAATCAAACACGCAATCAAACAAACATGAATAGTCTCCATCTACTTCTACCGCAATCTGATCTTCTGAGTTGTAAGTTGTAAGTAAAAAAACGATTTAAGCCAGCAGCTCCAAAGCATCACGTTCTTCAATCACAGGCTTTGGGCCTCAAAGTACCAGCAAGTCGTAGCACTGAGACGCTCTGGGCTTGGCTTGGCAGCCAACATCAACAGAGCAACGGAGGATCTCAATTCTCTTATCCCTCTTTGGAAAACAAAACAAGAAGTAAATTTGGTCTTGTAAATCTTGGGAACAGGTAAGATATGGTAAGATCAAAAGATGTTTGAAGCTTCGTAGATGTTCTTGGCATATTTGGCATATATTTGTAGATTTTGTAGCATCTTCTACGCTACAATCCGCTACACATCGAACCACATGAAGCCATCGAAACTGCTTAGGCTCTCAGGACGAGAAGCCGATGAGCAAACATGAGAAGCAGTAGCTGTCCAAGGGCTCGTCCCACTTCGGATCATGGTTCATGTGCATTTGGCTGTCTGGAATCCTGGCTTCAAAGGCTGATCTGGCTCTCTAATCATGTCCAATCTGTCTAGAAGCAAGTGAGTCAATTTGTATCCATTTATATATATATATATCTACATCAATTTGTCAATGATAGGCAATCAATGTCTTCAAAGAAGCAACTGCTCGGCCTTGTCCATTCACTCTTGCCCTTTGGTCTGTATTCGATGTCGTAGCAAAAAAACCTGCAAAACAACTCCTCTTCATTCCCAAACAAGTGACGGGTGACGATTCAGCAACATTGGCATAGTATCACATATCACAAGTCTAATGCGAAGTCAAGTCAGCCTGTCCACGAGATCAGAATCTTGAACAGGCACAAGTATCTCTAAGACTTCCTTAGTCGGCAAAGAACATGATCAACACTGGGACGTGCGTGGAACTGGCAAATAGCTGAATTTCTCTGAATCCTCCGAATTCCGCTCTTCTGTCCATAGCCAGGACACAAGTTTGCCTGTCTGTTGCCAAGCTCGCACTTCAGGTGTGCCTGCCAAAGTCAAAGAAGCTCTGCTGAGTTGTCAAATCTGTCGGATCAGCTCGGATCTGTCCACCACAGACAGCAGGCAGTTTCCAAATTGCCAACTGCTTGGGAACCTTGCGGATCCTTGTGGGTGCCACTGTGCCACCTTTCGTTGATGCCTTTCATTGATGCCTACTAGAAGGCCTATAGTTCCATCTGTTCCATCTCGTTCCAAGAAAGATCAAAGCATAGGTCGTACCATGTCATCCCCACACGGCCTGGCTGTGGTGGCACCGGATAGATTGGCATCGTAATCGTCTCCGAGAAGTCGCTGACAGCTCCGAGGACTTCTTGTTCTTTCGATTCCACCTGCCGGGCCCCAAGCCCCGGTCCAGACCTGTGGGCCTGTGGGATTCTGCAGTACATGAAAAGAGGCAAGCCTTGCATTATGTTGCATTGCGTGGTTTCTTACCAGGTCAGGTAAACACAAAGAAATAAAGAGATACGGAGATACGAACATAATATGCAGCAATGTTTGCCCACATGTCAATGCATCACTTGCCTGGTGCACACACTGCACTGCAAAGCGATATGGCACACCACCTCATGGCAAGTTGATCGTGGAGAAAATGATGCAACTTGCGCTGCAATTTATTGCGAATGAATCTTGACTAGACATTAAGATACTGTGTCTGATCTTGCGCTCAAATGAGCAATAATGATTCACTGAAAAAACAAAACAAGTGTCGAATCTCATTCACGGGCCATCCCTTGCAGTACCACTGCTCTCCCAGACACGTTGAAGGTCGTTGACTTTGATGCTCTTGCGCTTCTCCAAGTCCCTCAAATCCTGATTCCACACCTCCAAATCCTTGGCATCCCAAACCCAAAGCATAGGAATGGAGGAAGACTCAAAATACCCAAAGGAAACTCCAAATGTCCACGCATCCAATGTGCATCCAATGTGCATCCTACAGGGCATCCATGCAGGGCACCAAATGACTAGAGTTCTGCATAGTTCTGCCCTGCCTTGATGGCCTGGTCTCCACTGCTCACCACCTGCTGAGTGGGTGGAAGCATAGGCTCCTTGCCCGCGGCGAGATTACAACTTGACATCTGCCGTCTGCCACAAAGATCAACATGGATCAACATGGATCAACATGGATCAACATGGATTAACGGATTAACGGAAATCAATGGATTTCACGGATTTGACGGGCTGACAATGCTGACCAATCTGCTGTCATCTCTTAGTGCTGCAGAGAAGCAACATGCAAAATGTGCTTGACAATCGGGGGACAGTACTTCTCTTCCACTGGAGCTACCCAATGGAGGAGAGCAGAGCAGCTATTCGCTCGGGGCTCTAGGCCAAATTGTTCCTCCAGCTTTGGCCAAGGTGCCAAGAACATTTTTTTCCAAGAACTGCTTTCATAGCAAAAAAACACGGCCATTGCCCCGGCGAACAAATCGTCCATGCTGGGCTTTCTGAAGCTCCAGCAAGATCAACATCACAGCTGCTTAAATAGAACCCCTACAGAGCTTTCGTATCCGAAGAATTGTGGCCCTCTGAACGCACAAACTCATCTGTTGTCAATGATGCTTGGAAATCTGGAAGCACTCAAGGCTCTATGCCGGAATCCAATCAAGCAAAGCTCAATAAGAATCCGTCATCTTCGAAATCCAAAGGGCTCAAAGACAAAGAAATGGTTGGTTCTTCAGTATTTCATCTTGCTCAAAAAGTCAAGACTAGATTCATTCCACCCAGTGCACGGGGTTGATAAGTATTTGAGTCTTTTGAAAGCCAAGCATCCAACTTTGGCGCTGCCGGGGATGGCATATGGACAGAGAAGCTAACTTGGCCACCTACCTCAGCATAAGCGAAAGATCTCAGCCTTTCTCATTGTGTGCTTCTTCGGAACACATCTACAGTTGCCATACGCTCAGGTTATCTCAGATTAGATTGACAACCAATGGACCTAGTCATGTGCGAGGTGGCTCACTACGTTTATCTGCAGCTTTGCCACCTGTCTCAGCGGAACTCGTCCAGCGTCAGAGGCAAAGACTCTCACGTCGAAAGCCTCTAATGATCAGAAGCTACAAGAAGCAAAAGACATGGACAACAACAAGAAATATGTGTATGTGTATATATATATATGTGTATATATATATACATGTGTATATATAATATGTCTATGTGTGTGTGTTTAGTTTCAATTACATTAGTATATCTAAATATATACTTTCATATTTATAGTCTATAGTATCTATATGTATCTATAGTTTAGTAATATTGTTATAGTACAGAGATTTACATCATATGATTATAGATTACTATAATGTAATTAGTGACTTAGTGAAAAATCGGCGGGTCTGAGGTCCTATCTCAGGATCATCCCTCCAGGTGGCCCCACAGACGAAAACTCCGAGACCAAGCCACTCGATGCTCCGTCGGCCATGGTGCAGTGAGCCATACAGTGCATTCCCTTACACCAGCGCTGCCTGAGAACAAGAATGCTGGGTGAAAACAAAAAAACAGACAACATACAACAATCATTGCCACATTATCACATTATAAATAAGTTATAACATATGATCACATTGTGATCACATTGTCACTATCATTGCGATCACCAGTTCTCGCCTGGTGGGAGGAAATGTGGCAAACCTCAGTGTCTGGAGATTTCACCACGGAGCAATGTCTCCAATGTCTCTGTGCATCCGAGTTGCTTCCAATTTGGGCAAAGCTCTTTATCTTTTGACCGTCTATCAGCCAGTGGCCCTTGCCTTCCTGGAAGGAACTCAAAAGAGCCAAACTGTGTATTGTGGCAAGGAGTGAAGCAAAACTGACGCAGGCTGATGCCAATTTAGATATAATTATACGCGTGTATTTATATTTATATATATATTGTGTATATATATATTGTATATATATATATATTTATATATTGTATATATATATATATATGTATATATATAATATTATATAATTATTATGATGATGCAAGTTTCCTGTAATTTTCTGTGCTGCATTGATTTGATGCATGACTTGGCGGTCCTCAGTCCATATCATACGAGATGGCACGACAGCAACCACTGGATGCTTTCCGCAAAGAGGGTTCATGTCCGCTCCGAGTCGAACCTTGGTTGACATGTCAAAGAACTGGGAAAAGTATTGAAAAGAATTGCACAGAAATTGCCATAGACAACATATGTCTCATATTACATTCAAAGACATTCAAAGACAACGATTGAGTCGACTATTGAGAAGCAAACGTCTCAGAATTGCCATTGTTGACAAATTGTTCACAAATGTTCACAATCGAGCGAGCTGCGCGGCACATAATGCGGTCACCACCATTGTATCTTTTTTGGTCAACGGCCATAATGTCTGAGATGTTTGTGAAAGAGATCAGCAAAGCATTCACCTTGGCTGGCAGGTGATTTCTAGTATGTTTGCTTCGCTGCACATAGTGAGCGTTCCTCAAGGTCTTCTTCTTGACACTTCTTGGGCCCAATTTTGTCAAATTCCAGCAAATGTTTGGATAGACTGATAGACCGATGATCTTCTAAGCAAAAGCCTCAAAAGCTCGAGAACTGGAAAAACATGGAAAAGCTGCAAAGTGACGGTAACGTTGCCATGCACTCGCTCCTGGGCAGGTTCAGGTCAATGAACTGACCACAGTTTGGTCATCCATGCAGGGCAATGCAAGAGCATTTAGAGTCAGCTTTTCCAGTTGAACAGCCAAGCATCAAGGGCATCGTACGCCACACGTAGTTGGTCAGCAGATGATCTTACCAGAAACAATCCAGAGTCCAATGACCATAGAGGCCTGGCATCAGGGACACAATTCGAATGGCAGCCGGCAGTCCATTTGTTTATGTCCACAAAGGCTGAACGGAAAGATAAAGATTGCAAATTGCATGATGAAGCGGCTTTGAAGTACTCACTGACTTCACGCCTCAGAAGCAAACAGCACATCTGAAGCTGAAGAACTCAACGAAGAGATGAAAGTGATTTCTAGAGCAAAACGATGCACAGCTGTGGAGCGATGCAGAGCAATTCAAATGGGTGCAGCATGGTGCAGCACAAACACGCACAAAAGTACAAATTCGTGAAAATCACTCCTTATCCTTATCCGTTGGACTTCTCCATGGGTCTCAGTCTCTGGTCCAAGCGGCTTGCCCCTTTCGACTCGGAGGGCTTGGCAGGTTTAGGTTTTGCAGACTTGCCATCTTTGGAAAGGAAGGGTTCACTGTCGTGATCAGACGCACGAAAAACGTATCTCCGGAAGTCCTTTCAAATTTGGCAAATCAGCGAAGCTTGCAAAACCTTTCACCAGCGCACTTGGTGCACTGGATATGGTCGAATCAGCAGAAGCACACTCTCTAGTCCTCGAAGGACAAAGCTTTGAACCGGTCGCCCTTCTGCCTTGAGTTTGGATTTTTCCAGTAGATCGAGGGATGAAGCATGATAAAGTTGCCTTTATTTTCATTGTTTATTAAGACTTATCTCAATCATCTCAATCTGTTGCACTGACAGAAGATTACAGAAAATGTAATTGTTTAATACTCAACAGCAGACGTGATGTCCCCCGACCATGTTGCCGCTGCACACAAGTCCAAGGAGCACAGCCGAGACTAGTTTTTCGAGGTCTTTGTCCAGTGGTTTGCTAAGGAAAACACTGATAGCCTGGGGCGTGCGATGCAGCGTGCCCACTCCCACGTGCCCCGAGCTGTTGGGAAGTAGACCCTTGTGACTGAGATGAAGACAAGTTCTTCTAAGGTGTAGTCTGTACCTTGCATCAAAGAAAGCAACGGACAAAATAATTCTAAGGCCTACTCTCTGCACGTGCCGTCTGAGTCGAGAATTCGGGTGATTTCCTGTTGTTTTCATGAGCGACTCTTTGAACAGCAAGGGTTGAAGTGGTTCAATTCTTGGCTGAAATTCACCACGCATATCATCTAAACAATTCTACATGCTCTACATGTATACTGTACCTATAAATGAGTCGTCAATATTTATAAATTATATGGTATAAATTTGTATAATGGATGGAAATGGTATACTTGGCACGGCCTTGCTACCAGTAGTACCGCACAAGGCGGCGGCGGAAGTTTCAAAAATATTCAAAAATAGGAAACCTATAGGAGAGATTGGTTGTTGTGAATCACGGATGGCACAGCGAAGCCACTGATGGACCGAAAGGTGGTTGAGGTCTCTTCTCTTTCTCTCTCTTTCTGTCTCTTTCTCTGACCATCTACCTACCTACCCACCTATCTATCTATGCATCCATCTCTCTCTCTCTCTCTCTCTCTCTCTGTCGTGGTAATTAGTGTAGTGTAGTGTAGTGTAGTGTAGTGTAGTGTAGTGTAGTGTAGTGTAGTGTAATTAGTGTAGTGTAATTAGTGTAGTGTAATTAGTGTAGTGTAATTAGTGTAGTGTAGTGTAGTCTAGCGTAGTGTAGTGTAGTGGAGTGGAGTGGAGTGTAGTGTAGTCTTATATAGTTGTAGTTGTAGTTAGTGTGACGTAGTGTAATGTAGTGTAGTGTAGTGTAATGTCATTAGCGTAGTGTAATGTAATGTCATTAGTGTAGTGTAATGCAATGTAGTGTAGTTGCAATGTAGTGTAGTTGCAGTTGCAGTTGTAGGTGTGGTGCAGTGTGATTCAGTGTAGTGTAGTGTAGTGTAGTGTAGTGTAATTAGTGTAGTGTAATTAGTGTAGTGTAATTAGTGTAGTGTAATTAGTGTAGTGTAATTAGTGTAGTGTAATTAGTGTAGTGTAGTGTAGCGTAGTGTAAATGTAGTATTGTTGTAGTTGCAGTTGTAGTTGCAGTTGTAGTTGCAGTTGTA